CCCCCCCCCCCCCCCCCCCGTCATGGACGTGACAATATTTGTCGCGACCGAGGTGAGAGCAATAGGTGCGGACGCGCGTTATTTGCCCTATTCCCTGTGAGATGCCGTCTATTTGCCGAGGCTTTGTTTCCACCAGTTTCCGTTTCCTGCGCCAACACGGCGGCTCTTCTGATCCATCCGGTCAACCGAATACGCACAACTGCTTTTGGATATCAAGATAAGCGACTTCTCGGTACACCTTCAACTCCTGATTACAGCCTGACATCTGATCTCTGCGTCTCCGTTCGTTCATATCGCTTCCGCGGTAAAACGCCAGAAAAACTGGAAGAACACCGGATTTTTGGGTTCTCACAAGAAAAATAAACTTTAGATTTTAATAAATATAATCTTAATAATATACGCGATTAGTGAAAAATATAATAATTGAGTAATTGTGACTGCGACTCAACGAAATAGCGATTGCGATTCTTACGAATAAAATTGATAATAATTTTGGAGACACAGTAATCTTCATATTAGTTTCTTGCAACCATATGTGTAAAGTTATTATATAATATAATTGTAATCAAACTTCGCGGTAAGTTCGTTTAATTTCTCAATTATATCACTCCCTCACTTCAAAAGTTATACAATTAAAAAAAACGTGACTTTCGAATTAGTACCATAAATAAGTTAAATATCTATACATTACCCTATTAATTATTAAAAGTAAATTATTTAACTGTAGTTTTTAAAAATCATTAAAATTGTCACAACTGTAAAAAAGGATAATTAAAAAGAAAGTTAAAATCGTCAATTATAAAAAGAGATGATTTTTAAAAGTTGTGAAATAAAAATGACGAAAATAGCATTTAATCATGTTATTAATATATTTTTCTCGATAAAACGCATTTATTGATAAAAACGCATTTTCTGAATATATAAGGTTTTTATATTTACATTTTATTACATTTTTGCAATTTTGAATATTGCAATTTTGAATATTTTATTTATAATTAATAATAATATCATTTATTATTAATAAAATATCATTTGAATTCATATCGCAATAAACAAATAATATTAAAAAATGTTGATGGGATTGGATAGAAATATGGAGTCTCGATATTTTTCAAGTCAACTTCCGCAAATTTGTTGCAAATCATAAGATTAAATAAAAATTTTAATGCAAAAAGGAATAGATAAAGTAACTTCAAAATTGTTGTAATGTGCGTATTTTTTTTGCATTAATTGTTTAAATTATCTTTTATTGAAAATATTTGCTTATTGTTATTTTTCCAAATTTCTTGATAATTTGAAGTTTATGTTGAATATAAGCTGTTATGTGATTGTTTTATTTAATTAGATTTTGCAATAATTTTTCCAGATACGCGAAACAGTTATTCATTAATACGCGACTATTATGATCGTAGTTGTTAACCTTTTTGATCAAGTAATCAGGTTATTTAACAAATTTTCGGCTTTCTTCAGCACATGGAAAAATGGTATCCAACTCGAGAAAACTCCAGTTTTAAAAAGGAATTTTCGGTTTAATTTTGATGACCCTTTTTTTTTTAAAAGCAATAAAACATTATGGTCTTTCTTGCCTATTTGAACAGATTATGACCAAATATTTTCACCATTTTTTCTCTTTTAAAAATTTATCTTCGACAGAATGTGACAATGCTAGTCTGGAAGTGGCAATCATGGTTTTAACTCAGAGCGAATAACATCAAAAGTTGCATTATAAAGCGTAAAATCGTATGCTTTAATTTAAAAATCAAATCATATTATATACTTTTAAGATATACATATAATAAAGATGTCGATAAACAAATAATGTATCTTTATATATATGTAATCAAATACAATTTAATTAAATTCGGCATTCGCTTGATATTAAATATGCAGAAAATCTAGTCAAGGACTCGATATAATTAGCAACATTGAGTTCAAATAAACGACGTTTCAATACCATTCGCTGCATCATTATTTTCCACCAAAGCAGTTAAATACTTTTGACATCGGCAATTTATACAGCAATCAATATGTATTCCTATAACATGCCGTCGTGCACTTCAAAAATACTCAAACATCTCTTAATCTGTCATTTAAATCGCCATCAAGGCAACGAAGACTCTACTCTCTATTTACTATTATCCAAGTTCCTATTGTCATTCCGCTGCCTTTCCATCTTTGGCGATGCGTTTTCGCAGGCTGAATCGGTGGCCACACGGCTCGGCGGTGAAGTCGCCGCATGCCAAGCTCGTCGGCGTCGCCTTTGTTGCCAATCGCTCCCTCGTTTTCTTCCTCTTCATCGTCCTCTTCTTCCTCTCTTCATCGTCGTCAATCCTCTTTGCCGTTCCCGAGAGGAATTTTTCCACCACTCGATCATCCTGGTGACTCGTGAGGGAGGCGATCGTCCCGTCCGCATAGGATTGTCCAATGAAGCGATACCGCAAGATCTCGATGGGCGGCGCCCGGAATCCCGGCGATGGCTCTCCGGCCCGACGACTTCGTGGTGGGGCCCCGTGGGGCCCCGTGGGGCCCGAGCGGGCCGCCTGGTGGGGGGATTGACATCGACTACTGTGCATTTCCCACGTGCCCTGGGAACCCCCGCGGCATCGTGTCAGCCCCCGCTCTTCGCTTTTGCACGCTCCTTCCACCTCCACCTTCTCCCACACTATCTGCTTCTCATCGTCAGCGGCAAGCGTCTCTCCTTCTGTCTGCCTGTCTGTCTTGCTTTCTCCCTCTCTCTCTCTCTCTCTCTCTCTCTCTCCCTCTCTTTCTTTCCGCTTCTGCTTATCTCTGCCTTTCTTCACCTAGCGCGGTAGAAATCAAGAAATCGACGCACCCGTGGATTTTCTCCCGAGAATCGGTACATGGCTTCGTCTTTACGCGTAGGTGTCGGGATTGCCACGGCGATCGCGCGCACTTATATTGTTTATCCACGAAAATATCTACAGCTCTCTCTCCTCCAAAGTCGACCGGCAACACATAGTGATACTCCTACATACAGATAGGCAGGTAAGATAGATGGAAGACGCGCGCACGCCGAAGGGAGTCAGTGGCTCTAGCTTTTGGATACGAGCGCTACCTCCGTAGCTTTTTACAGCCGGGGTTGGCTACCGCCCCCGCGGGGGGTATCCTTTTGGAAAAGGACGAAGGCGGAAGGAAGCGGCCCAAGTATGCCGAAGCGGTATTCGAATACTTTAAAAGAAGGTAGGGGAGACACCTCAAAGATTATATACCAGAAGGGGTCTTAGCGTGGGTGAAGAGGGATGCTCTCGTCTCACGGTTATGAGGGCGGGCCCAGACACGGTGCGGTGGAAGGGATCAGAACCCGTAGAACGTGGAAGAGAGGGAGCAACTCCGCGGGGACAGTTGAAGGGAGGGGAAGGGAGGGCGGACGGGTACACCAAGCGGGAGCTCAGGAAGCCGCGTCGACGAAGGATTTGTGAATAACCGCGCTGCTATTCGGCGACCGGGTGAGACAAGGACGCACGTAGACTCGGGACAAGGCGCGCTACCACTTCTTCCCTTCTTCGTCGGACTTCCTCTTCATCATCGTCTTCACCTCTTCCTCTGCCAACACCCGCCGTCACCCTCTTCCCTCATTTTCCTTCTTCTGCTCCCGTTCCTCCTCCGCATCCTTCTCACCACCACCACCTCCTCCTCCTCCACCTCCTCCTCCCTCGTCTCCCTGGCCGCCTCTTTTCTACCTCTACCACCGCAACGAGGTCGAGGAAGGAACATCCTGGACGTATACGTTCCCCGTGGAATTGAAGGGAGGCTACCTTCACACGATAACTGGTGGGTATCGGTGAGTTGGTTCGGTAGGGAGGTGTCTCCCGGTCCTCCAACCAGAAGAAGCCAAACGACGACGACGACGAAGAGACCTTTGGCGGTTACACACGGCGTCCTACCGTCTTCTGGTGTGCCTACCTATTCGGGCTACCAGCGAACCGAGCGACCAAACGAAGCTTCAGTCGACGCCGCGCACCCAAACGGTCCAGACCTGTCAGCCCGGAAGACACACGCGCAGCAACTCAACACTTTCACGAGCTACCGACCTACTAACTAATACGGAGATCCCGACTGTTGGCAGCGTGACACTATACGCGCACTACAGTTCGTTTTTTTTTTACAACTCACCGCATTTCGCGAGTTTCGTTCTTTCGTTCATTGAAAGTTTACGCTTCTATCCAAGTTCGAAAACTGTCCTTTGCGGAAGAGAACTACTGGACGTTGCTCGAGGACGAATCCTTATTCGCATTCTTTCTGTCTCTATCGGTAAGTCAATTCATATCATCTCTTTATCTAGCATGTAATTTCAATAATACATTACATAAATATAATTATATTCGAGATTCAAGTTATAGTTGTTTATTATATGTACACACTTAATATAATAATTAATTAATTATTTATTCAATAATATTTGAAATGACATTAACTGAAAAGATTAGTTACATTGTTTATAAATCGAATATTTTCTACAAAATCATGTCTCTCTTTCTTATTCTTCTTCTTTCTCACTGTATCTAGGTTTATTAGAATATATCAAAATAGGTACCACATTTTAAACATATATAGAACATTATTAAAGTTTCGTTTATGGGATACAGTAATAATTCTCTTCAAGTTGTTTCTATTACAGTGTGTTAATATTTATCTCAAAATTTTTTTAACTTATGTAAGACGACAAAATAAAAAAATCGGCTCTTACGCTTTATCAGGAATTAATTCTACCATTAAGCTACTTTTATATCTTGCAATCTTTGCTTCGTTTCACGATGAAAATCATCGTCAAATATCACTTAAATTCTGTAGGCAAAATTCTGAAAGCAAGAATATATCTATTAAATCTTCGAATCTTCGCATTTTCTATTGTATGCCTCCACGTGTTAAGAATTAAATGAATGGGAATAGGGGTGTGGTCTATATTCGCTCATGTATATCAAGTCCTTGCTTCTGAATCAGTAGCAGGCTGTAGGGCGGTGCACAGTAGCTACTGCATTTTGATTGGTCCTCAAACTTGCGGGTTGTGTCCACGGCGATTTTACGATGGTCTCCTTCAAACCATCTAAAGATTCACCTTTTTTTTCTAGTAATTCGCGTTTCCAATTAATAATTACAATTTCTATAGACATACATCTTCCAAACACATAATTTTAAGTTTTATATTATAGACGACTTTCTAAAATTCACTTTTAATTTCTCGCGATAATATTCAACGATATTTCGGTAGTTTATATAATATTTATAATAGAGAACTAATAAATAAAATTTGAACTAAAGATTAAATAAAAATTTTTTATTTTAGAAACTTGCTTACCTAGCTACTAATTTTTATTACGTTGATCAATATCTGATTACTACAAAGCAATTATCTTAATTATGCTCATATTTCCTATACGATTTTATTGAAATGTTATTTTAATCATTTTTCTTCTCTTATTGCGTAAACGTAAATCGAGCTGCAACGTGCGCCTGTTCAAGTTATGAAGATAGAGATTTAACAAAGTTCTTACCTACCAGTCGCCTGTACGGATCAAAACGGATCCATCACGGAGCTACCATTTTTCTTTAGCGCCGCGCGTGGCGCGAGTCCGCGCGATAGGTAATATCTCTCGTGAGAAACGCCCTTGCGTGATCGTCCGCGTACCCCGTTGGTATCGCGATTCGACGTCTAGACGGCGGAGGGAGGGTGTGGTCCCACTTGGTGGACTTCTCCGGCTGTTCAGTAGCGACTGGCCGAAAACCGGTAGTCGGCGGTAGGGCGGTGCACAGTAGCGACTCTTCTTTGGTTGGCTACCGGCCTTCTCGCTGTGGCGAGCGAACGAACGAGGGCTACCGCTCCTTCCTTTATTCCTCCATACACGCGAGAACGAGTGCACGCACATCGAGCCGGAGCTCACTCGGTTGGCCGTTCTCCGTTCTTCTTCGATTGGCTGCCGGCTCTTTGTACCACGCACTCCGCCCTTCGTATCGCGCGGATAGAACGGAAGGTACTCGCGATTGCCCTTTTTCCAAAGTCTCGATAATTTTGAATAAAGCGAAACGTCATACTGTCGAACATCTATTTTAGATCGCCCTCGTTAGTAACTCTTACGTGCAACGAAGTCCTTTGGTTATTTTTTCTCATGAACAAAAATTAGTACGAGATGAAATTTATCTCGACTATAGATAGTCAATGTATTCAATATTCTATCAGTTTTCAATATCCAGAGATACTATTCACTATAAAGCACGTATTATACGATTATTCCGTTCGGAATCCATTCCGAATAATTCCATAATGCGTACCCAGCACAGAAGCTTGTAAGAAATTACTGCCGTATGGATATATGAACGTATATTATTATACGATGTATTATCGATGATTATATTTGTAATATTAAATCCTTTTTTATACGTTCGTTTTTCTCAATTTTGCTCTTTGTTATAAAAAAGACTAATTTATTTGTACCAATTACATCAGAATACAATGACTTTCCTATTGCGCGAATTGAATTAATAGTCATGAATAGCACGATCATCTTTATACGCTATAAAAGTTAGATTACACGATATCTATTTTAATTGCTTGTTTAATCGCGCGCAATTCTATTCTCGTCAAGAGGAAGCTTCACTTGATTATTCCGCGCATTCCCTCTTCTAGCGTGGTTCACAACAAAATTCACTTTCGCGTAGCTCCGTACATACCAAAACGCTTCGCCTATTCGCAAATCTTCGTCTAGTATGGCGCATCCATAAACGCGAGCGTCTACATATATCGCATTATCATACATTATCATACATTATCATACATTAAATGAAAGCATTCGATCACGCGAACTCGGTAAGCAAATATAGTAGCTGGCACGATGTTCGCTCTTCAGTGATACATCGTTAACTCGTGCTCGCATTTGTTGCTTCGCAAAAATCTTACGTCTCTCGTTACACTCGCAATTTTATATATTTCATTTTTTTACAGACGTTCCTTTATCCCGCAGAATATCAATGAAACGAAAAATAACTCGGTAGCTTAAGTCTGTTATGTTTTTCTGTATTTTTATCGCCCAGTCGAAATTCAGCGAACTTAGCGGTTGTCAGAGAACACGATCATATATTATCGACTCAAGATTATATTTGCACGTCCTCATCGGCATCGTCTGTAATATAAAACCTGAGCGTTTACACGGCTAATGTCGTTTTCCTCGGCACCCAACTCATTAACGCACAACTCATTAACTCCGCTTCACGCAAAGTGAGAACCTGTTCCTACCACATGTACCCGTCTCGGGTAATACAAGCGTACTGTGACCTCGTAACTCTTCGACAAGATTGCCATGTAGTAGCTGGTGTTACCGTTCGTTTCTGCGGACCTACATCAATACCCTGCGACAGGAGTAGCTTTGTGTCAGTTTGTTATTCGAAAGTAAAATGACTAAATTTCAGAAGGAACATACGTTAGAAAATCTCATCTGAGAGAATTCTCTGGAGATAAAATTTCATACGGTTTCTATTCTAACAAACTGCGTAAATAAATACCTTTTGCCGTACCTACAAAATTACAAAGGATATTGTGGTTTCCCGTCTGTCTCTTTATTTACGGATTTATAAGGGTTAAATCCTTGGAGACAAGGGAGAGTTTAGTTCACACAAAATCGTAAATCCATATGTACTCAATATTTGCACGTAAACTTCTAACGGAGTGACGAAGGTGTCCCCCGTTCGAAGACAGCTAGAGTATTGTTTCTATGTATTTTTCTACGTTTGTACGTGACCCAGCTCATTGGATGGATATTTATACGGGGTCTGAATCAGCGTCGGACGTCAACGACGACGAGAGCAGACAGAAGCGTGATATTTTACCAGGAGACGGAACAGAACTTTTTTTTTTTTCTTATGAAATGTGGAGTCGCGCGTAATGCGCAGTTCCGATTAGGCTCCACCGCCTGTTAGCCACGCTAACCAACCGGGCTACGCCCAGGCACCGCTTATTACTCATTCGGACACGCCACTTTATTCGAGCGTGCGCCGTGCGCTTAATGCGAGCCGGTAGCGACTGGCCGACACTCCTGTACAATGGCCGCACCGCGCGATTGGATCCCGCGGGCTATTTTTTAACATGCCGATTCCAATTCGAGAACCGTGCCATTAGACCGTGGCAATACGATTCCGATCCCTCATTCATATCCGGCTGAGTATCGTACGGGGGAGTCCCAAAAGTAATACTTACACGAGGTATAATTTGGCATATTGTACGTACCTTGAAAAGAAAAAACTAAATTTTAATAAATCATTTGTTTGAATAGTCCCGAGTAAATATTTATTTACTAAATATAAAGATATAATTATTTGGTACACAAGAATCATTAAATTTCTTCAACTATTATTTCTTTTTATTGAATAAATATTTTTTTGCTGTACGTAAATATTTAGATGGTACCATTTAAATAAATATTTATTAAAATTTAGTATTTTTTTTCAGTATACAATTCATATTCTTCCTTTCTATTTTTATCGCGAAGGGAATGTCTTCTCTGGATACATGCGTAGCGGCGGAAATATTAAGTAATAAAATAAATACTAATTTTTGACGCGTGAAAATAGAAATGACTTCAGTGGAATTCGGTTACATCAGACCTCTTAAATTATTTCCGAAGTTTAAGAGACATCTCAAGGCGATCATGGCGAAGATTATTTATAAACGGTATAAAGTAAAATGTAAGAAATCGAAAGATAAATTTCGGATAATTTTTTAGCTCAATGGTTTTTAATTATAATTATTATAATTATTATGCGATAGAAAAGTACGTATAACATAAAGATGATATGAGGAAGAATAAATATATGCGAACACAACATATTTTGAATGGATTATTGCGTTTTTTTTTAATCAATGGTTATCATATAATTATCATATATAAACAGTATTTTATTTAAATTTTATTGAAGAACTTAAAAATTAACCCATATTAATCACATAAAAGTTAATCGGTGACTCATTGCTTTTATGCTTTTTTTTTAGAATAACGTCGCGAACTCGGGAAATATTCTCATGATTTGCGTGGCGTCGGATAGTTAGTGTAAAGATTACGGATCGTATTTGCAACGTGCATTTAGCGCTAATAGTGGTTCTTCCTCCTCGATTACCATGAATATACACAGTATCTCATATGAATGAAATTTAAAACTGGACAGTCGCGTGTTTGAAATTAAATATGCCCGGAGGACGTGTCAGAGCTAATGATTTAAACTTGCGAATGGAGCAGACGCACCCAATTAGGAAACTAGTCATTAATTTTTTTCGGAAGCACACAGCTTTTTATGGGCATTCACATCATGTTTTTTTCTTTTGCTGACTGAGAAACTTAACACATAAATATTTTGAGATAGTCACAAGTTTAGAACGGTATATTATTTCTAACAGATTTGGTGAAAAAATTTTATTTATCATTTACCATTCATTCCTAATTCTATTTAGGAATAATTAAGTATCGTATATAAGTTTTTTACCTCGTGCAGATGTAACTTGGCAAGATTTTTATAGAGTTTTAAATAAAATTATATAGAAGATGTTTATATGAAAATTCTACGAATTCTCAATTTTATTTAATGAAGCATCGATATAATAGCTTTTTTCATCTATGTTTCTTACAGACACGAGATGTAATATCTATTAATAATGTTATAAATTATAATATTCAAGACAATACAATTGCATCGCTGATTTGCAAGAGTAAATTACAAGAAAGTAAAATTACAAAATAAAAGTTGCTTGCGACATTTCTGCAAAAATGTTAGACATTCTCTTATCTTACTTATATATAAAAATGTTACATATATTACAATTACATATTATTTTTCACATCTCCAGAATTATCATATTATTTAAAATGAATGCTATCTCACAATAGACTTTCCTCGCAGAATCAGTTGTAGTTAGCTTGTGTTTCAGAGTTATCCTTTATATACATAGGTAAAGTACTTCCCTATGTCATTTTAAAAGCAAATTCCCAATAAAATATCGCGATAATAATTCGATCGGAGAGAATTTCTATTCCGTAAGGCGCATTGGCATGCGCGTGTCTCTCCACCTACGCATCTTCGTAAGGAATGCAAAATACTCGAGAAGTAGCTTTAACGTTACTAACCCGTTGCTCGTAGGCAACGGCGCTTCGCGTAAATATCTCAGATACAGGCGTCCCTCGCGAATACTCCGCTCTCGCGACGCTCTCCGGGTGATTCCCTCGAGCGTGCGAGTCAGATCGGAGGAGAATCATCGATTCTGTGCTCTTTGCAGGCAGCGATACGAGGATTCTCTCGCGACGTGGTACAAGCAGTGATCTCACTCCCAGGAGTCAGCCGTGCCCGAGACTAGCTTTGCGCGGGAGGAGAAGAGCGAAGTCGAAGAACGACAGTCAAGAAAGACAGATAAAAAGAGAAGGAGAGAGCATACGAAAGTCTGCGAACGAGGCAGAGAGAGAGAGAGAGAGAGAGAGAGAGAGAGAGAGAAAGAGAGAGAGCGACGGAGAGGCACTAAGAAAGGGGACAGAGGAAGACAGAAGACGTGGTGGGAGTGACTCCGGGCGTTAGCAAGAGAGCGAGAGAGGCGGGTAGAGGGAAAGGAGAGATAGAGACTCGACCAAGAGAAGGAGCGGTGGGAATTTATAAGGATGTTCGCGATAATGCCGATGGAGACAGAGGGGCACGGCAGGGAGTTCGGCCGGCGGCAGAAGATGCGCGCCAAGTGCACGGTAGAGTTCGTCTGCAAGTACTGCCAGCGGCGCTTCACGAAGCCCTACAACCTCATGATCCACGAGCGCAGCCATAAGGACGACGTGACCTTCACCTGCGAGGTCTGCGGAAAGACCTTCAAGCGGCAGGACAACCTCAAGCAACACAGGTACACACCGTCACATTTCGTTTTTACCATTTTTTTTTCCACTTCGTTTTACTCGACAGTTTTTGTTACGTTTAATTTTTTTTTGTTACGTTTTATTTGACCTTCGAGGACTTCTATTTTTGCGCGCTTGCACGGGACACGTACGTGATCTGATCCATGATCAATCGCCGCGATCTCTTGAGTACTCTTTAGGGGGTCCCTTACAAGGGTCCTGCACGAGTATGGCGTCGCGTATATGAAAGAGGAGCCCGTGACACACACCTAACATAGTAGAATATTGCCAATGTTTCTGCGGAATATCGCGGCAGCCGATCGTGAATCAGACGTCAGTGCGTGACTCTCACTTGCAAGAACCTGCACTCGAAAAGCAATAGAGAAGCTATCGAGAGACGTTTTACGTTACGCGTCCTCGTTGTTTGCCACACGACAAGATGGGATGATGGAAAATGATTAGTTCTCAGTCAGCAATCAGCTCGAGAAGTCGAGCTAGATTGAAATTAACTGCCATTAGGTTGCGTCATCGGTTATCGTAGACATTTTTCTGTTGTAATTATTTTTTTTTTTACATAGCATAGATAATAAGGACAAAAATTGTGATTCTATTGTATCTATTGTAATTAATAATCATTTTGATGTCAAATAGTGAAAAAAGGTGGGAAGTTTCAATGATATCCATTATGTGTTAGATCATTTTTATTATTCGCATTCATATAATAACCGTAAAAATTAAAGCTACTTAGTTGCGCGTAGAACTTTCAGTTAAGATGAGATTGACACCTGGGAAACCGGTCAGGCCACCGATTTGATCTTTCGCAAAAGAAAAAAAAAACGATAGCAAAAAGAAGTTAATACTTTATTTGTTCGAGAACTAATCTGGTTCACGATTTGATAACTTTTCGATAAATACCTCGTCGCTCGCAAAATTTCGAGACGCAAAGCACGAATTATTGACTAGCTTTTACATAATGAAACAAAGACACCGCACGAAAATGAGTGGAATATTAACCCTTAGTAGACATGTTTGATTTGAGTACCTTTAATACACACGTTCGGTCGTTCGTGTCTTGGCTTAATTTTCATCACTTTTACAAGTATATATAAATTATTAAACAATTTTTATATTTTGACATCTTTAGAAAGTATTTGTGCAGTTATGTATTCATAACAAAATGTAGATAAATTGTTGTAACTAAATGTAGTTAACGAAATCAGAAAAATGCACTGTTTCATATAAAAATATAAAACTGAAACAAAAATATTTAAAGGAAAAATATGGTTCAGTATCTTAAAATTGACATTCTAAACTACAAGAGAAAAAATAGTTCAAGTGCCGACTGTCCAAAAAGTTTAATTATTGAGTAACCTGAAAATGATTTTTTTTAATATGAATGGCTATAAATTGAAGATATATTGCATTTACATTTTAAAACAATGGATTTTATTATTGCTATTGTGTTAAAAAAATTTATAATTTATTAGGAAAACGTTCTTTCTAACATTACAGACGACATAAAAATCGTGTTTATTAAGGGCTAATACTAATTATTTTAGGGTTAATTTCTTTTTTTAATAATTCGCGAAATATTCTCGTAATACAACCGAGAATTAGTTGAAGTTTTAAAGAAAAAAAATTATTTTTTAGTTACAGAAAATGTACACTTTGTACACACCTTGGGTCATTATGACCCACAAGTGAATTTTGGAGTTATGCCATTTAAAGGATACGCACGAATCGAGGCCGGTAATGCACAAAACTTGTTCTCTAGATATCAAATTTTTTTTTAGCAATAGAAAAAAGACCGGTATTTGACCAGGTGCTCTTAGTATTAAAAAAAAAAGAAAGAAATGGGCAGGGGGACACGAAATGACCCAGACATGTCTACTAAGGATTATTAAATAAAGACGTCTCACGATGGTCCTTTAGTTATAACATTAATTAACGATGCTCGCACAAACCGTTCCATGCGTAAAAGATTTGTCGTTTAAAAAAAAATGGATATTGTGATATATATAAATATAAAATGTGTATAGTATAAAGAAAAACATGCAAATACCAATCACTTGGCCACACCCGAATCAATTTACAATTTTATAAATTGTATCTTTGTGTGATCCGAGCTATCTTATTTGTGAATCAAAAGACATTCTATTTTTGCTATGTATATGAGGATGTCAATGCAATGTCAACGCAATGTCAACGAGCAAAGAAGAAGATATATTAGTTTAAAGGTATGGCGGATCACGAGAAAAAGATGCGATTGAGAAAGATTTATATGAGTCATTTTTATGCATATAAAACTAGTTTAAGTCCGTCAAAGAAAGGATGACATCATGTTACAGCAGAAAAGGATTGCGTCGTTTTGAAAGTGACACGATAATAAATTATAATTAATTACATTTTTTATAAATACGAGTCGATTTAGTATTAAATCATAAATTCCACTTAAATTCTAGTTAAGATATTATATCAATATGCAACAGATTCCAATGTAAATGCAATTACTCTTGTGCAATTTTTATCGTTTTCCCGATTTCGGTCAAAGTGTGATCTTTAAGTTAATAGGAAAGTTAAGACGCGCTAACTATCGCTTAAGCGGTCACGGTGCTGACCTCGAGAAGGTCAAAACCATCGGTTCGGCCGAAGGAGACCGCTACCGCGTTGACCTTTCGCATCAATAGCCTTGTAATGTTGCAACGTGTCGCCTTCACCCGCCTCACGGCGAATAGAAGCGCGAATCGGGAGAGAGAAGAGATCCGCGAAGATCCGCGAACTTTGCACTCCTTCTCTTGCCTACGGGCGCGAGTCGACGAGTCGACGCGGCGCGGCGTGTCGGTCCAGCGAGTCGCGCGCGAACAAGCGGGCCCATAGAATCGGCCTGACCCATAAATCAGTCTGAAATAATGCTGCCCCCGCATGGAACGTGTGCGCGAGCGCGTTTGAACGAGCGAGCGATAAAATAAATCTTCAATACTGGTGGATACTAATGGATACCTTGTATGTAACGGCGGTGGTCTTGTTTTCTGTTCTGTTGTAGATGTGGGTGGCGGTGAACGGGAGCTCTGAACCTCCTGCACCTTGACACACGCACAACACACACACACACACACACACACACACACGCACGTATACAAAATGGACACACCATTAATAATACAAACTGCAACAATAACACTAGACAACAGAGTATGACAATAATTGCAACACCAGAAACTACAACCATGCACTTTTTTATTTGATTATCCGCACTTTTTCCCGGTCGTGATGAAAGCACGATCAACAACTATGTCACTACCGCCACCACAGAAAAAACCCCAGCATGTGTATACTACTTTCTCTTCTTCTTCTCTTGCATCTTCCTCTACTTCTTCACCTCTATCTGCCTCTTTCGCTATTTCGTCTTCTCACTGTGTGTCTGCGACTTTTACTACCCTCACTGCGACTTCTTCATCGTCGGCTATTTCTTGTACTAACACGGTGCGCACGAGTCCCACGCTTTAACGAGACGGCAGAAATGATTGATAGATAGAAAAGGAAATTTAAAGGATGTGAATGGGAAGGAAGCGAAGGGTTTTCCCTGGAAATGTACTTTCCTCATCTTCCGATTTCAACCATCTTTGTTCCAGGAGCATACACTCTGTTCCCTACAAGGGCTCCAACGGCTACTCAAATGGCTATTCGAATGGCTACTCTAGGTATTAGAAGCCATCCGGCCAACTACTATCCTAAACTCCCGTAGACACGCGTTTCTCTTTCTCTATCGAATGCTCTAGCTACCGACCAGTTCTTCCTGATGTCCCTCCTCTATTAGAGCAATCCTTCGCGTCGATCCGACGACATGCCAAACTTGCAAGTGATGTCATGTTCGCATACGGCAAGGGAATCGCGATACTTCGTCGATTTTTGTCATCATCCTCGCCTATCACCCTCGCATCTAGTTTGTCCGTCCTGCTTCTTTGAATTTTTTCGCTTCTGTTCACCCTCCTGTATTCCGAGCCTACACCCAGACGTCAGCCACATCAGAGGAGTCTTCGATTCAACTTGACACGAAGCACCGTTGCAGAACCGAGAACGATGGAAGCTATTTGGGATACAGCGACACGACAGACAATTGTAATTTCATCGAACTTCCTTTGTAATTCGACTCATTCGAACGGGTAATAATATTCTTGCTAGATACGTGCCAAGCGATGTTTGAAATGTTTATGGAATTCGCTGTTTAAGATATTATTGGATACTTGATATCAGCTATGCATAATTCGAAAACTCCCGCACCTCTAATGAATACAATAGTCAGCGGTCTGTATATTAAGATACACGAATACGAAAGAAGATAGATGCGACTATGGAATATAACGAAATTATTTATTTAAATATCAGTTTAGACAAATTATCTAAAATCTTTTTTCTCGACGTGCTCTGTTTTAAATATTCAGTCTTCAATTAGACACGTTTTAACTATCTTGATAAGAACTTTTCCACAAGCGTTTCACGAGCGTTATACAATAAAATTGCCGACAGAACAGTTAGAGCTTCTTGTTATGCGCAACGTCAATGTTTCGATCGATGGACAAATGACGAAGATTCAAGAATAAGAAGAAGAGAAAATGATGTTTGCACATTAAATCGGTCGTGCAGTTATGAAGAAGCGAATTGGCAGTTCATCCAGGAATCGAAACGAGCGATCTACATTCTTCCGCATTTTCATAACGAAAGCATCGCAACGCTGGATTCCACTCAGGGCTCCTCGGGCTAACGTCCTAAATTGGACTACGTAATAACCCACTAGCTCTATAAGAGCGCTGGTCGGAGGATACACTGTTCGCTTCTTCGCGTGCTACCGTGGACCACGCCCAGGCCCGAAGCGACGTCTTCCTGACCTACCACCTGGCAATCAAACCGCGAAGCTACTCGGCTTCCCCTTCAGAAAATCCATATAATTTCGCGACGGCGATACGACAAGTCACATCGCCAGGATCGCCGACACAAAATCGTATCTCGCGAACGTGTGCGATTGTTGCGCATGAAGACACGATCGGACAACCTTGGGGCCACGTGGGGCTACAAGGTGGGTTCGCGGTGGTATCGCTGACGCAAATACCAGTCAGCTGAGATCGGTTTCCAGCGGGTGAACTCTCGACGAGATGTCTCTTCGATTCCGACTGAGACGCGACCCATTGAAGTAGAAGAGGATCAACCGTTATTATTTCTGAGCGTCGATCGTATCTTTCCTTTTCTTTCTTTTTTCTGTATCATTTAATTTCTCTTTTCCTTTATTCATACTCGTACGGATTGCGTGATAGGTGTATATGCCACTGAGAAAAATGTCTGACTAAATTAATTGGAATTCTGGTTGAAAATGGAATCAGAATTTTCTGGTTAAATCTACTAAAATTCTATTTGAGGTAACCGGAATTCTGATATAATTAGAATCTTGTGATTTGTTCATTTTCAACCAGACATTTTCCTCAGTGTAGTATATTTCTCGAAACGTGGATGGAAGAGGGACATCGTACGTGATGTAGCAATTGGCACCATAATGCTCGAAGTAGGCAAACATGAAGCTATATACGATATAAATGGTAATGCTGATTCCCACTTGATTCTCAAGATGCTAAATACAAGAACCAAATGGGAAATCACGTGTGGCGAGCATAAATATAATCGTCGCGTTTGAAATCGGTCAACTCAGATGCAAACTGCAGGAACTTTCAGTTCTCATAGTAGAGCCGGTAGGAATATACGCATGTAATCAAAGAGGTTTTCAAGATATGAAGCTAATTAAGATAATAATTTTGTTTACGGTTTACATCTTGGTTATAATTAATGTTTTAAATTTTAAGTACATTTTTCAGTAATGTAAATCACGAATTGTGTAAAACCATTACATAAATTTTTATGTATTTCTAAAGAAAGTAAAAAATTAAATTCTTCGCATATGCTCTTATCTTGTATGTTATATTCCTACTTTCTCTTCTAATATCTATGTTATATACTTGATGCTATCGATATATCTAGAGACATATTGTGCGCAAAGAGATATCACCTAAATTATCATAATCAGAATAAGTTCTTACTTTTCCCATTTCTAATCACCCTACGACTCGAGTATCACTCGAGTCCATCGTGATAAATTGTAAAGAATGTATTTTTTGTATTAAATTTAATATATTTTGTGGCATGCTTTTCAAACTGTGTACATTAAAAAGAGAGAAAGTGTTTGAATTTGTACGTTAATGAGGATTAAGGATTTTGCGTGACTGGTTCTAACGTATTCTTGCAACGACAAATATCTTTTTGCTTTGATACACGAAAATAAAACCATACAAATATTCTTAAATGGTGTTAGTATAATATGCGTATTCTTGCTACGGCATCTCGAGAATATCGAGAGCTGCCATTTAGCATTTATTCGCACAAATTAATATTAGAAAAATCATATTGAAAAAACCACGATGGCTTCGGGAATAAACAGGACTTTTTTCTAACTTTTGATTCTTTTTAGTGGAATGAAACCGCGGTCGTACTTTGTACATAGCTTAAATACGTATCAATGCGCGTCTAATATTATTATATTAATTATTATTATTGATTATTATTATTATTAATTATTATTTTATGGATGTTATCGAAATAGCGCTTAGTCATTCCGTATTGTACCCGCCGATAGGCCTCACGAGTGTAGAGCTGCATTTCGTTGTATGGTATCATAGGAGTGATAATAATGTTATTTTATTATTATTAAAATTATTATTATATTATATTATTATATTATTACCATGATGTATCAATATTCATGCATGTATCGCTAGCTTTACACCACCGAGGCACACGGTCAGCCCGGTAGGAAGGTTCATGTTCTTTGTCTCTCCAAGAGAGATGAGATAACATGCGCGTGATGATTCCATGTATGCTTTTCGCAAATCGTATTGTATTAGTGTGTGTGGGAAAGTTCCACTCCAACGGACTACAAATAAATTCGCCAAGTTGTAAAATGCTATTTCGCCCTTCTTTTTTTTATCAATCCTCTTTAGCGTATTAAACGATTGAACTATTAAAAAATCTGAGTGTTTCATGATCTTAAAAATCTTTCCGCTTTAAAACTTTTTTTTTATCACAGAATGATTAGAGAAGTTTTTCTGGTACTTCAACTATTTTCAAATTTTGCAGCACAAAACAGTAAGTACAATTAATTAACTATAATAGGTTCTGATTTTATTTCATTGTAGTATTTTTTGCGTAATACATATAGAGTAGTGCAATGAAAATCGTAATATAAGACAACCATTTTACAAATCGCGACTGACTTACAATTAATCTGCATCTGGTTGAGGCGAGTTATGAGATGACTCAATCGTAGAAATTATCGGGATAATTCATTCCTGGGGATCACTCGGATTCGTCGTCACGCAAATCATAGCCAGTTAAGCGACGGCCGGCAGCTAGGCGAAAGAGAAGAGTAGCAGTACCTGATCAAGACAGATCTCCCGCAGGCGTGAAATAGCAAGCCGCATGAAACCATCCTTCTTGTCACAATAAGTCAACCGATGATTAGCGGTATATTGTGTTCTAATTGATGTTACACGACAAATATTTTGTTTAAAAAATTTTTAATGTGTGGATATATATATATACTTCAATAAATTAAAGAACGCGCTTCATCTTTTCTTTTTTCAATAAAATTTATCATTTTTTGACTTTGCATCAATCATCAATATACAATTCGTTGCATTAGTGAGCAATGTTAAACAAGCTATTGTCTAACGTATTTTGACGTCTCGTGCACAATTCTTCCATCGTGCACTTTGTGCATTGTGCAACATACTTAAAGAGTTCGAAGTTGTATTCCATGAGCGAATAAGATTGCACGCGGTGCATCCTGTTCACTTTATGTTGTGGCTGGAAGCTGCTCTCACCTCCTGGGGCAAAAGTCGTGAGCTGAATGTCATGGGTGATTGAATACGACCCACTGATGTGCTTCCCGAGATGTACAGACTATACGTGCTATTGATTTTCCGCAATTTTCTCAGTGTTCCGTCTAATTGCTTTAACCATATTTCAATGTTTTAACAATATTTAATAATTAGTAAATAAACGTTTGTTTATATATATCGAATTTATGCATATACATGTATTTATAATATTTATATTAAGGAAACCTTTTTCCAAGTGTTTTTCTACTTCAGGACTTTATCTAAAATTGCGAAAAGCACGTATAATAGACAGAAAGCAAAAATAATAGAAATCTATAATTTTTATTCAATTAGAGAAATATTATAGGTACGTAAAAACTAGTATTATTATTCAGAAAATGAAACGTAGACTGTCTTCGCTAGTAATATTAATTATTGAATAAAATTTCTGTACTCTATAAGGCAGAACCTCTCTTTGTATAGTTTCCTCAATAACATTTCAAAGAAATTCATTCGCACCCGCACCTTCGATCGCAGTTTATTATTGCCTCCGCAAACTCGCAACCGGGCATGCAACTGATAAAGCCGCTTAGCGTACGAACGCGTTTCCACACGCTTAGTTATGGGCGTGTGCGGAGTGTTAAGCTAGCGGGCAGAAGCTTCCCATGGAACTCTCACCTCCGCGGGCGGAAAGTGAACTTCGCGGCCGACGACGTTCAACAGTCGTGCAGCCGCGATCGCCGCCGCCGTGGCCGCGATCCTTTTTCGGGTGAAAGGTTGGCGAAAAATGCCCGACGGCAGCTACTGCGGTAGCTCCAATGCCACGGATCGCTTTCACTGCGGAAGAGATCACATTTTTTTGCGAAATACTTGGATTTCGACGATTACAGAATCATTATCTATCATATGATGAAACATTACGTAAATTTAAATGTTCTGCGTACTCTCTAAAACTTTTGGAGTAAATCTTACTCTAAAGAATGAAATCCTCACTCTTACAGATTGAAAATTAAGCTACTCTTTCTCATAACTAGCTTAATTTTCATTCTTTAGTGTGAAATTCCATTCCACAGAGAATTTAGAGAGTGCAGAGTTTCATAATTTTACATATCTTTGTTAGTGCATTTTGCAATTCTTAAAAAAATATTATTTGAAAGCGGTAATATTGGGACACAAGGATCAGGAACGTAAAGAAAGAAGAAGAAAGGAATGCAGTAGTTAAAACATAACACTGTTATTGTACGATTGCGTATTACTGCGTGTAACGATAATTATACAGGAAGAGACAATATCAATTTCATATATAGATGCCACTCCTTTCAAGGACCTCTTTGTTGCATTCGATCATTGGCGAACATGAGTCTGGATCCGAGCTCCTTTTCGCGAAAGGATCGACGGAGATCAATAAAGCGAGCTTGGCGCGTAGTTAATCGATGAAAGCAATGAGACGAGGTCATAGATGAATATAGATACACGTAATGACGTTTACGTTATAAAATATTATTAACCATATAGAATCGAATTGAGAAAAGGCAATATGCGAGAAGATAATCAAAGACGGTTACGTGTGAAAGTGAGCGCGATTGTGTATAGTAGCAAAAGGTGAGTGCCTAAAGGTTAAGAAGGTTACTATCGCTAAATCATCATTTTAAAGCGAATAAAGTGCGATATATGAGATTTAAACCGCAATGTGCGTGCTATAATAAAAAGACACGAAATATGTTTCATGAAACGGAAGAATATACAGTCATATCATTTAATTAATTATCCAATTATTAGACTTTGATATATAATCAATTTTATGTCAATTTTTACCAATTTTGTTAAAAATGTGTTACATTTAAAATAAATGGTGTGATATTTCGTGCGTCACTCTGTAAATAAAAGGCATCATAATCAATTTATCTTCTTTTCACATTAAAAAAACTATCTGAGAAATGTATATGAAGAAAATTAAAAAATGAATCGGCCTTTTAGAATAGAACAACGGTAATAAATCGACCTTTTAAAATAGAACAATTTACTTTAAAAATACATTATATGACAAAATAGAAAAATTTTTGATATTAAGATTTCTTTGTCGCATATATAAATATATGTAGCTTTCATTACGAAAAGTCAAATAATACCTTTATGCTAAACAATAGTGACGTTACATCAATATGAATAACTAAGCAGGAAAATGCTTTATTCCGTTTAAATCCCCCCAATCTTACTGCTTAATTATAAACTTCGCGTCGATTTAATTTTTTAAAACACAATCACAAACTAATAATATTACAAATTAAATTGATAAGCAATTTAATGATATTGATGCTAATAAGCATCTTAAAACACTTAAAAAAATTTATTTTAATTGAAAGAGAGTAATGTAGATTTGAAAGAACGAAAGTTTTTATTAAGAACTATAAA